AGTGATCTACGACTCCAGTCAAACCAGAATTGAAGTAAAACCCGTTGTTGAAGACTCAACGCGAAGTATTAGCACAATCTCATCCTCTCAGCGCAGACCATTTGCTGACTTCGTCCAGACAACTCAGAAACAATCAACCCGCTATGTATCAGCGGTGACAAGAAGCCAAACAATGACTCAGAAGAAGCGGGTACATTTTGCCGACGATTCAGCAGCAACTCCTGAAACAGCCATGCCAAAACCAAAAGGCCATGCCGAAATCAAGGTCGACGGAAGACGCAGGAAATGCGGCAGTAAACCCTGCGAAGACTGAGGCAAACTCACTCGGTGAGGTTCCAGATGCAAGTGATGTTGACCCAGCGATTCAATCAGAGCGACGACGGAGAATTGCTATCGCCCAAGACGAAGAGCTAAAATGGCTAAATCTGAAAACGGTTTTACGAGGAAACTCCGACAAGCTCAAATATAGAGCTGCCCGAGATGCGTGTAAGATCGCGGAACGATTTCTCTTGACTGACGACAATGTGTTGTATTATATGAACTCGACTCCGCGGGACCAACAAGACAACCAAGATGAACTGAGACTGCTACTGGTAGTCCCTACTACGATGATCCAAGAGGTTCTTCAAAACAACCACGACTCATTGGAAGGTGGACACCAAGGCGTAGTGAGGACATATCAACGAGTGAAGCAAGATTATTGTTGGTTTGGCCTTTACGCAGATGTTGAAAAACACGTGAAATCGTGACCGGATTGTAGTTCAAGTAAGAGCAAACCACAGTTGAGAGGATACTCTCCTGGAAACATTCTCGCCGAAAGACCATTCCAGATTGTGTCGATGGACTTTGTGATCCACTGCTGAAATCTCGGCAAGGCAACACGGCGCTACTGCTATTCTAGTGTGCTTTCACAGGATTCGTCATCACAAAATCGATGTCGGACACTACAGCATTCAAAGTCGCACAAGTATTCGAAGAGTGCACTTACCGAAGGTTTGGGGCACCGTCATTACTAAAGCATGATAGAGACCCTCGCTTTATGAGCGAAGTATTTCAAGCATTTGCCGAGATGATGCAGTCAAGATCGAGAGCAACTCCGAGTTATCGGCC